CGACAGACACTCAGCCCAAGACTTCTACACACACATCACACGACAGACACCCACCCTAAGACTTCTACACACACATCACACGACAGACACCCAGCCCAAGACTTCTACACACACATCACACGACAGACACCCAGCCCAAGACTTCTACACACACATCACACGACAGACACACAGCCCAAGACTTCTACACACACGTCACACGACAGACACTCAACCCAAGACTTCTACACACACATCACACGACAGACACCCAGCCCAAGACTTCTACACACACATCACACGACAGACACCCAGCCCAAGACTTCTACACACACATCACACGACAGACACCCAGCCCAAGACTTCTACACACACATCACACGACAGACACCCAGCCCAAGACTTCACACACACATCACACGACAGACACTCAGCCCAAGACTTCTACACACACATCACACGACAGACACTCTGCCCAAGACTTCTACACACACATCACATGACAGACACCCAGCCCAAGACTTCTACACACACATCACACAACACACACAGCCCAAGACTTCTCCACACACATCACACGACAGACACCCAGCCCAAGAATTCTACACACACATCACACGACAGACACACAGCCCAAGACTTCTACACACACATCACACGACAGACACACAGCCCAAGACTTCTACACACACATCACACGACAGACACCCAGCCCAAGACTTCTACACACACATCACACGACAGACACCCAGCCCAAGACTTCACACACACATCACACGACAGACACCCAGCCCAAGACTTCTACACACACATCACAAGACAGACACACAGCCCAAGACTTCTACACACACATCACACGACAGACACCCAGCCCAAGACTTCTACACACACATCACACGACAGACACCCAGCCCAAGACTTCTACACACACATCACACGACAGACACCCAGCCCAAGACTTCTACACACACATCACACGACAGACACCCAGCCCAAGACTTCTACACACACATTACACGACAGACACTCAGCCCAAGACTTCTACACACACATCACACGACAGACACCCAGCCCAAGACTTCACACACACATCACACGACAGACACTCAGCCCAAGACTTCTACACACACGTCACACGACAGACACCCAGCCCAAGACTTCTACACACACGTCACACGACAGACACCCAGCCCAAGACTTCTACACACACATCACACGACAGACACCCAGCCCAAGACTTCTACACACACATCACACGACAGACACCCAGCCCAAGACTTCTACACACACATCACACGACAGACACCCAGCCCAAGACTTCTACACACACATCACACGACAGACACCCAGCCCAAGACTTCAACACACACATCACACGACAGACACCCAGCCCAAGACTTCTACACACACGTCACACGACAGACACCCAGCCCAAGACTTCTACACACACGTCACACGACAGACACCCAGCCCAAGACTTCTACACACACATCACACGACAGACACCCAGCCCAAGACTTCTACACACACATCACACGACAGACACCCAGCCCAAGACTTCTACACACACATCACACGACAGACACCCAGCCCAAGACTTCTACACACACATCACACGACAGACACCCAGCCCAAGACTTCTACACACACATCACACAACAGACACCCAGCCCAAGACTTCTACACACACATCACACGACAGACACCCAGCCCAAGACTTCTACACACACATCACACGACAGACACCCAGCCCAAGACTTCTACACACACGTCACACGACAGACACCCAGCCCAAGACTTCTACACACACTTCACACGACAGACACCCAGCCCAAGACTTCTACACACACATCACACGACAGACACCCAGCCCAAGACTTCTACACACACATCACACGACAGACACCCAGCCCAAGACTTCTACACACACGTCACACGACAGACACCCAGCCCAAGACTTCTACACACACATCACACGACAGACACCCAGCCCAAGACTTCTACACACACATCACACGACAGACACCCAGCCCAAGACTTCTACACACACATCACACGACAGACACCCAGCCCAAGACTTCTACACACACATCACACGACAGACACTCAGCCCAAGACTTCTACACACACATCACACGACAGACACCCAGCCCAAGACTTCTACACACACATCACACGACAGACACCCAGCCCAAGACTTCTACACACACATCACACGACAGACACCCAGCCCAAGACTTCTACACACACATCACACGACAGACACTCAGCCCAAGACTTCACACACACATCACACGACAGACACCCAGCCCAAGACTTCTACACACACGTCACACGACAGACACTCAGCCCAAGACTTCACACACACATCACACGACAGACACCCAGCCCAAGACTTCAACACACACATCACACGACAGACACCCAGCCCAAGACTTCTACACACACGTCACACGACAGACACCCAGCCCAAGACTTCTACACACACGTCACACGACAGACACCCAGCCCAAGACTTCTACACACACATCACACGACAGACACCCAGCCCAAGACTTCTACACACACATCACACGACAGACACCCAGCCCAAGACTTCTACACACACATCACACGACAGACACCCAGCCCAAGACTTCTACACACACATCACACGACAGACACCCAGCCCAAGACTTCTACACACACATCACACAACAGACACCCAGCCCAAGACTTCTACACACACATCACACGACAGACACCCAGCCCAAGACTTCTACACACACATCACACGACAGACACCCAGCCCAAGACTTCTACACACACGTCACACGACAGACACCCAGCCCAAGACTTCTACACACACTTCACACGACAGACACCCAGCCCAAGACTTCTACACACACATCACACGACAGACACCCAGCCCAAGACTTCTACACACACATCACACGACAGACACCCAGCCCAAGACTTCTACACACACGTCACACGACAGACACCCAGCCCAAGACTTCTACACACACATCACACGACAGACACCCAGCCCAAGACTTCTACACACACATCACACGACAGACACCCAGCCCAAGACTTCTACACACACATCACACGACAGACACCCAGCCCAAGACTTCTACACACACATCACACGACAGACACTCAGCCCAAGACTTCTACACACACATCACACGACAGACACCCAGCCCAAGACTTCTACACACACATCACACGACAGACACCCAGCCCAAGACTTCTACACACACATCACACGACAGACACCCAGCCCAAGACTTCTACACACACATCACACGACAGACACTCAGCCCAAGACTTCACACACACATCACACGACAGACACCCAGCCCAAGACTTCTACACACACGTCACACGACAGACACCCAGCCCAAGACTTCTACACACACATCACACGACAGACACCCAGCCCAAGACTTCTACACACACATCACACGACAGACACCCAGCCCAAGACTTCTACACACATGTCACACGACAGACACTCAGCCCAAGACTTCTACACACACATCACACGACAGACACCCAGCCCAAGACTTCTACACACACATCACACGACAGACACCCAGCCCAAGACTTCTACACACATCACACGACAGACACTCAGCCCAAGACTTCTACACACACATCACACGACAGACACCCAGCCCAAGACTTCTACACACACATCACACGACAGACACCCAGCCCAAGACTTCTACACACACATCACACGACAGACACCCAGCCCAAGACTTCTACACACACATCACACGACAGACACCCAGCCCAAGACTTCACACACACATCACACGACAGACACCCAGCCCAAGACTTCTACACACATCACACGACAGACACCCAGCCCAAGACTTCTACACACACATCACACGACAGACACCCAGCCCAAGACTTCTACACACACATCACACGACAGACACCCAGCCCAAGACTTCTACACACACATCACACGACAGACACCCAGCCCAAGACTTCACACACACATCACACGACAGACACCCAGCCCAAGACTTCTACACACACATCACACGACAGACACCCAGCCCAAGACTTCTACACACACATCACACGACAGACACCCAGCCCAAGACTTCTACACACACATCACACGACAGACACCCAGCCCAAGACTTCTACACACATCACACGACAGACACCCAGCCCAAGACTTCTACACACACATCACACGACAGACACCCAGCCCAAGACTTCTACACACACATCACACGACAGACACCCAGCCCAAGACTTCTACACACACATCACACGACAGACACCCAGCCCAAGACTTCTACACACACATCACACGACAGACACCCAGCCCAAGACTTCTACACACACATCACACGACAGACACCCAGCCCAAGACTTCTACACACACATCACACGACAGACACCCAGCCCAAGACTTCTACACACACATCACACGACAGACACACAGCCCAAGACTTCTACACACACATCACACGACAGACACCCAGCCCAAGACTTCTACACACACATCACACGACAGACACACAGCCCAAGACTTCTACACACACATCACACGACAGACACCCAGCCCAAGACTTCTACACACACATCACACGACAGACACCCAGCCCAAGACTTCTACACACACATCACACGACAGACACTCAGCCCAAGACTTCTACACACACATCACACGACAGACACCCAGCCCAAGACTTCTACACACACATCACACGACAGACACCCAGCCCAAGACTTCTACACACACATCACACGACAGACACCCAGCCCAAGACTTCTACACACATGTCACACGACAGACACCCAGCCCAAGACTTCTACACACACATCACACGACAGACACCCAGCCCAAGACTTCTACACACACATCACACGACAGACACCCAGCCCAAGACTTCTACACACACGTCAGCTAAACGAGCTGATCCTGGCACACCGGCGAGTGCACAGGCGATGAGCCGTACACACACCCGTCCCGCTGAGATACATGTGTCTGTGCGCATCCGTACCTTAGTGAGCGCGATGAAGCAGAGCGCGGCGACGGCGGTGAACATGAGCGTGGGGATCAGCATGATGATGGAGGCGAAGATACTCGTGCCGAAGAAGGAGATGGTGCCCAGCCAGCCACTGAAGCACCACACACACACACACACACACACATCACGCGTCACGTTTATTACATGTGCATCGCATACAGTAATAGATGCAGTATTCCAGTGTGAGGTTTGTGTTAGCGTTCAGAATCCTCATATTTGGGAATAATATGCATAATATGTGGATGCATTTGTCTTACCAAACACCCCACCCGGGAATACCAATGGCCTGAATTATAGAAATAAAAAGTTGTGCCATGAAGACAAAGAAGAAAGCCATGAAGTAGAACGAGCTGTCAGTCCTGCAAGACAACAACACAGATGTACAAATACATAACTATAGTTATCTAAACCTTAATGATACATGTGTGATGGATCAGTTGTTGATGTTATTAAATTAATATAAATTAATAAATAATTAAATACATGCATTATTCATTTACCATATTATAATGATGATAACCATTATTATTATTATTATTATTGTTTAAATAATATTAACATATAATTTATATGTAATCAAATATAGAATTAATTTATTATACATTTACCATATTACAGATAATTAGTAAAGCTAATAGAACTATATGTTTCAATCCCTTAAGTAGGAAACTCTTGACAGTAGCAGTCGGTGTGGAGTGGTGAAAAAGGAGGGTAAGGTATGTCATTGGGGTCATCAGGTGGGCACCCTGCTTCATCGACGTTTCGTTGATTGAAGCCCACAACGTCTCCAGAAGGCTCAACGGTGTACCCAGCGTCCCAGGTACACCCCCCTCCATGCCATACCCTCCATATTCCTGATGGGCTCTGCATGGCAGGGGCGTCCGTCTCCCTGAGTTGGGCTTAAGCCTGACCGCATACCATCTGTCTCTACCTTGCTGCCCAGTTGGGGTCCTTGCGCTTGATCCAAAGCCAGTTACTGCTTTTTTCGGCAGCACCTGACATGGACTTGATGGCCTGTTGGAGAGAGCGACCCTTCACCCCTATTTTTCTCAGCAACCTGGTGGTAGATGTGGCAACAAATCCCCTGCATCCCACCTCTACTGGGAAGATACTGGTCTTCCAGCCGTTCTGGGATGCTTCAGCTGCCAGGTCGGAATATTTGTTTTGTTTTCTCTCATAAGCCTCTTCAACCCCATCTTCCCATGGTACTGTTAATTCCACAACATATACCAGCTTTGTTGATGGAGACCACAGGACCATGTCTGGCCGGAGTGTTGTAGCCACTATTTCTGGGGGAAACACAAGCTTCTTATCAAGGTCCACTTCCAATTTCCAATCCTGCGCTGACTGCAGGATGCTTGCATCCTTAGGTGTTATACTATGCTCTTGATATTGGCCAGCTGGTACGAAATTTGTGAAGTTGACCTGTCTTGCCGATGTTTGTGGGAGATTGTTTGTGGTGGTTCGCTTTTGTTCCAGTATTGATGCCAGCTCTCTGAGTACTTGGTTATGCCGCCAAGTATAGCGCCCTTGGGTGAGACTTGTAGTGCACCCTGATAGAATGTGCCTTAGGGATGCAGGTACTTGACACAGGGAACAGGCGGGATCTTCTCCATACCACTCTTTCAGATTTTGGGGGGAGGGTAGCAGGTCGTATGTGGCTCTGATGACAAAACTCAGCCGCGCTCCCTCCATCTGCCAGATGTCACGCCAGCTGAGCTTTTTCTTCTCCAGACCCTCCCAATTGGTCCATCTCCCTTGCTTGGTCATTGAGACGGCTTTTGCATGTCGCTCTCCCTCCTCTTGTCTCCTGACTTCTTCTACCACTAGCTGTCTCTTCTGCACTGATGTTGCTTTATGCCACAGAACAGTTTTTGGGATAAGTCAGAACCATGCTGTACTTGTCCAACCACATCTCTGAACTGAAGCGCAGACTTTGCACTCTGAACAGCTTCTAATGGAGTCCACTTCCTTCCAGCTACCACCCGGGGGGCCGCTGTTCGAATGACTGCATCCTCAGATTCAGTTAGGGTCATGACGAGCCTTGCTTTGGTGCATTTGAACTCTTCCACGAGCCCTGTGATTGGTAATTCCAACTTGCCATGTCCATAAAGTCCGACGGAACTTAAACAACGTGGAATTCCAAGCCACTGCTTTAGCTGTGTGCTTATCAGCCGTTCCAACTTTTCAACCTTAGAGATGGGGATCTCATACACAGTTAACGGCCACAAGAGTCTTGGGAGTATGCCAAACTGAAAGCACCATAACTTGAGTTTTCCTGGCAACAAGGTCTTGTTGATGCGCTCCATATACATGCTGGTATCATTTTTTAGTTGTTCAAACTGCTCGGTGTCTTTGAGCTTCGCATCATACCATCTCCCCAAGCTCTTTACTGGCATTTCTGAGACAGTTGGGACAGGTGTTCCGCCGACGTGAAATCTCTGGTCTGTAACTTGGCCTTTCACTATGGAGATGCTTCTGCACTTATTGGGCTTTAACTTCATCCTCGCCCATGTTATATTTTGATGAAGTTTTTCCAGCAACCTCTTGGTGCAGGGGACAGTTGTTGTGAGTGTTGTTAGATCGTCCATATAGGCTCGAATTGGTGGTAACCTCTGATTAAATTGTAGCCGTTCTCCTCCCACGACCCATTTCGAGGCTCTAATAATGATCTCCATTGCCATCGTGAAGGCCAATGGGGAGATGGTACAGCCCGCCATGATGCCTACTTCCAGTGGTTGCCAACTTGTGGTGAAGCCTGACGTTGTAATGCAAAACTGTAGATCCTGGAAGTAGTGTTTCACTAAATTTGTGATTATAGTCGGCACCTGGAAGAACTCAAAGGCAGCCCACAGAATTGAATGAGGGACTGACCCATAGGCATTGGCCAGATCAAGGAACAAGACATGGAGATCTTTCCCTTCTTTCTTTGCAGTCTGAATTTGATGCCATATGATGCTGTTATGTTCCAGGCATCCCGAAAAGCCTGAAATGCCAGCCTTTTGAATTGATGTGTCAATAAAGTGGTTTTGTTTTAAATACTGTGTCAGTCGCTGTGCCAACACACTGAAAAAGATCTTGCCTTCAATGTTCAGAAGGTTTATCTGGCGGAACTGTTCAATGGTCGTTGAGTTCTTTTCTTTTGGGATGAACACCCCTCCCGCTCTTCGCCAGGCTTTCGGGATGATTTGCTTTTCCCACGCCACTTTCATGTTTTTCCACAGGATTTTTAAAACATCTGGAGCGTTCTTGTAGACACTATACGGTACGCCGTTAGGGCCTGGTGCAGATGCCGATCTTGCCTTTTTCACTGCCTGCTTCACCTCACTCAGCTTGGGAGGGCTGATATCAAACTGATGTTGTGGTGGTGATATTGGAGGGATGTCAGTGGGGACAACGATAGGTTCATCTTTTTTCTCATCAGTATAGATGATTCTCAGATGCTCTTCAACCTGGTCTTTTGACGTTTTCAGGGATCCACTCTTCTCCTTTATGAATATGCCTTTCACAAATTTAAAAGGGTCTTTGTAGAAATCGGTTCTGGCTTTTTCCTTCTTGTTCCGGCGCATCCGTAGGCTTTCTGCTCGACGGAGTTTTGAGAGTCTGTGCTTTAGGTCCTCTTGAAGGAAATACATAGTTATCTAAACCTTAATGCTAAATGTGTAATGAATGTTATTATTATTATTGTTATGTATTAAATTAATATAAATAAATTAATATATAATTCATATTTTATTAAATAAATAAATAATGGATTCATTATACATTTACAATATGATGATAATAACCATTATTATTAAAATATTTAAATACAAATTAATATTAATACATTAATAAATATAAATGTATAATAATAATTGGATTTATTGTACATATGATGATGATTATCATCAAATATTAATCAATGTCATAAAACACAAATTATATAAAAAAAAAAAAAAAAGATAAATAGAAATATAATCACTTTATAAAATCTGAACAATTCAATAATTTGCTAATGAAGTAGTGTGCCGGGGACGCTTACTTGAAGGCGTTGTAAATGGACCTGAACCAGCACACGTATGAGCAGGGCGTGAAGAGGACGACCCAGATGATGGACATGCCGAAGTTCGTCACTCCTCCTCCCCCGAACATCCACGCCATACAGCCGAAGAAGTTCACCAGCAGCGTGGAGCCGTACACTGAGGAACACAGCAGATCGCTCACTCTACTGACCGGGTTATTTGCACAGGTGTGTGTGTGTGTCTGAGAGAGAGAGAGAGAGAGAGTGAAAGATAGCAGAAACCCTTCATTGCCCAAGAGTGTACAAGAGAATAATGCTCTATATGATGTTACACACCACTTCAGAGAGAGAGAGTGTGTGTGGGAGAGAGAGAGAGTGTGTGTGTGTGTGTGTCTGAAAGAGAGAGAGAGAGAGAGAGTGTGTGTGAGAGAGAGTGTGTGTGTGTGTGTGAGAGAGAGAGAGAGAGAGAGAGCAAGAAAATGCAGCTGTCACCAAATAGAGTAAATGCTGCAAAATGCACAAAGGTTATGATGCACTTACTGAGCAAACTAAAGCCATAGCAGGTTAATCACTAAATGAGGCTGACAGACACTACACACACACACACACACATCTGTGACATGCAGTCGACTCGATGACATCACACAACTAACAAAATAATGCTTTGTTCCATGCCATGAAAAATATTTCTTAATATTAATATATTCTTAATATTTAAAAATTCTTACAAAAAAAAAGAAAAAAAAAGAATGATGATGCAATATTCTAAATAAAGAAAGCATGCAATTCCACTCAAAAGCCACACATTAAGAATACCTGAGGAGGGATCCGCTACAGCACTGTCTCTACAGCAACAGATGACCATAATTACTATATATATTTACAGTGAAGAAATGCAATCAAGTGTGAATCACCAATAATGTTATTAAAATAAAAATAAAGCTTATTTATTGGCGTTATTTTGAGACAAATGTCGTCTTAAAGGGATACTCCACTTTTTTGGGAAATAGGCTCATTTTACAAGTCCCCCAGAGTTAAACTGTTGAGTTTTACCGTTTTTGAATCCATTCAGCCGATCTCCGGTTCTGGCGGACCACTTTTAGCATAGCTTAGCATACATCATTGAAGTGGACAAGACCATTAGCATTTCTCAAAAAAAAATGACCAAAGAGTTTCGATATTTTTCCTATTTAAAACTTGACTCTTCTGTAGTTACATCGTGCACTAAGACCGACGGAAAATGTAAAGTTGCGATTTTCTAGGCTGATATGGCTAGGAACTATACTCTCATTCCTGCGTAGTAATCAAGAAACGTCACTGCCGTACATGAGTAGCCTATTTTCAGGCGCTGCGTCATATCATTACGCCTGCTGCACTCATGTACGGCAGTGAAGTTTCTGCATTATTACGCAGGAATGAGAGTATAGTTCCTAGCCATACCAGCCTAGAAAATCGCAACTTTACATTTTCCGTCGGTCTTAGTGCACGATGTAACTACAGAAGAGTCAAGTTTTAAATAGGAAAAATATCGAAACTCTTTGGTCATTTTTTTTTGAGAAATGCTAATGGTCTTGTCCACTTCAATGATGTATGCTAAGCTATGCTAAAAGTGGTACCGCCAGAACCGGAGATCGGCTGAATGGATTCAAAAACGGTAAAACTCAACAGTTTAACTCTGGGGGAGTTGTAAAATGAGCCTATTTCCCAAAAAAGTGGAGTATCCCTTTAAGGATTTTCAGTTTTGTTCAAGGTAATTAACAGATTTTTAATAATGGAAGAATAAGTAAAATATGGTATTTAATGCGCACCAGCTGTCGGGGAGAAATGCATAATAATTAACATGATAATAAACAGCTGACTTTTACATTTATTGACATGACATGTTAGATTAAATATCATAACTCAAATTTTGTTGTCCATCTTAGAGATAATCACCATATTTATAACGAAACCAGCATATTTAAAAATATGATATTATTCATATCATGTATGCGTATACTGTAAAGCTTTATTAAATTATGATGATGATCATTCAGTGCTTTCAGAATCTTTACTTTTTAAAATAATTTTATGTTATTTTTAAGATGAACACATATTAATAACAGTATATTTATTGAACAATCTATTATTTTATTGCCACCTCATACATTTATATGAGTTTTAAACAAAACAAAACGCTTTTATGATTTATTTTCACACTAAATATGTTGCTCCATCAATTCTCAATTAATTTTTTTTATTTTTTATAATTTTATTTTATTTTATTTTTTTACTGAGCAATGTCATATGATATATACACTCACCGGCCACTTTATTAGGTACACCTGTCCAACTGCTCGTTAACACTTAATTTCTAAGCAGCCAATCACATGGCGGCAACTCAGTGCATTTAGGCATGTAGACATGGTCAAGACAATCTCCTGCAGTTCAAACCGAGCATCAGTATGGGGAAGAAAGGTGATTTGAGTGACTTTGAACGTGGCATGATTGTTGGTGCCAGAAGGGCTGGTCTGAGTATTTCAGAAACTGCTAATCTACTGGGATTTTCACGCACAACCATCTCTAGGGTTTACAGAGAATGGTCCGAAAAAGAAAAAACATCCAGTGAGCGGCAGTTCTGTGGGCGGAAATGCCTTGTTGATGCCAGAGGTCAGAGGAGAATGGCCAGACTGGTTCGAGCTGATAGAAGGGCAACAGTGACTGAAATAACCACTCGTTACAACCGAGGTATGCAGCAAAGCATTTGTGAAGCCACAACACGCACAACCTTGAGGCGGATGGGCTACAACAGCAGAAGACCCCACCGGGTACCACTCATCTCCACTACAAATAGGAAAAAGAGGCTACAATTTGCAAGAGCTCACCAAAATTGAACAGTTGAAGACTGGAAAAATGTTGCCTGGTCTGATGAGTCTCGATTTCTGTTGAGACATTCAGATGTTAGAGTCAGAATTTGGCGTAAACAGAATGAGATCATGGATCCATCATGCCTTGTTACCACTGTGCAGGCTGGTGGTGGTGGTGTAATGGTGTGGGGGATGTTTTCTTGGCACACTTTAGGCCCCTTAGTGCCAATTGGGCATCGTTTAAATGCCACGACCTACCTGAGCATTGTTTCTGACCATGTCCATCCCTTTATGGCCACCATGTACCCATCCTCTGATGGCTACTTCCACCATGTCACAAAGCTCTAATCATTTCAAATTGGTTTCTTGAACATGACAATGAGTTCACTGTACTAAAATGGCCTCCACAGTCACTAGATCTCAACCCAATAGAGCATCTTTGGGATGTGGTGGAACGGGAGATTCGCATCATGGATGTGCAGCCGACAAATCTGCGGCAACTGTGTGATGCCATCATGTCAATATGGACCAAAGTCCCTGAGGAATGCTTCCAGCACTTTGTTGAATCTATGCCACGAAGAATTGAGGCAGTTCTGAAGGCAAAAGGGGGTCCAACCCGTTACTAGCATGGGGTACCTAATAAAGTGGCCGGTGAGTGTATATATATATATATATATCCTAATTGCAAAAATTGTGCAATTAAGTTTTAATTGTATTTTTTATGTGCATTGCACTTCTGAAGTCAACAGCATTTAAAAATTAAATAAAATTATAGAGTCAGAGAAAGTTACATTAAACACACACACACACACACATACACACATATATATATATATTCTGCAATCATACACTAGGAGAAAAAAAAATTCTGGTGTACCCTATATTTTATATATATATATTTTACAAAGATTCTACAGACCTCCTGCAGTTACACACACACACACACACACACACACACACACACACACACACACACACACACACACACACACACACACACACACACCACTAGGGGACCAAGAGTATTAAAACAACTAAAGTCTGTCGAGTGATTAGATACTTTGGACATGCTCATCTGAACACTTAACTCAACTCAACAGAGTGTTTGTGAACTGTATATCATCTATGTGTGTGTGTGTGTGTGTGTGTGTGTGTGTGTCCGGACTCACAGATCCACAGGTAGTACAGTCTCTTGCACATGGTGCGGTGCTGGTCCGGGATATCCTCAAAGTCCTGATGGAAACACGGCCGTAGAGGAATGAAGCCAGGCAGAGGAGGGAAGTTGTTTTCTACAGGACAGACATAAAGCAGAGCATCCATGGAACACACACTTGCGTATCGCTGAGTTATTAATGACTGGGATCAAGGTCCTACCAGCCATTGGGGAACAGGCGACGACTATTAGTTCTTCAGAGCTGTCAATCTATCAAACCTACATATGAACAGAAGGGACACACACTGTAAGGTAATATTCTGGACATTTGCAGTTTTATTGACACACGTTGACCAACATTAGGGCATGCAGGGGTAAGTTGTCACAATGCAACCTACTATAAATATCAAACATCAAAAAGTCTTAAAATTATTTAAATTTAGTTATATTAAAATTGTATTATTTAAAATTAGGGTTGGGAATCACCAGTAGCTCCACAATAATATATTATCATGATTCTTAAGCAACAATACGATATTATTGCACAATACGATATTATTGCACTTTCATACATGGGTATTGCATTTAAATATATTATCTTTTTGCAAAATGTCCCCAAAGGAAAACTTGTTCCTCCACTCCACATTCTTGTTCAATATTTTCAGCCTTTCTCATATTTTAGACATATTTAATAGAAATGACAGTAGCCAAATAAAAATGTTTGCACATTTCAATGTTTGCACACTTAATTCAACGTATTTGTTTGTACAATACATTTTGTTTTAAGCAATTTTACAAAGAAAAAACCTTATTAAAACCCTATTGAACAAGCCAAAGGTGATGCTATACTAAAAAAAAATCACTAAAATCAAAGATAAACATTAAACTGACTTCATCTTTTTTATATGATTTATTTTTGAAGCAGAAATACATATCAGCCTAAATAAGTGGGTTATTTTCAACTACACTCTCAGAAAAAAAGGTACAAAAGCTGTCACTGGGACAGTACCCTGCAAAAGGGTTCTCATATGTATAATGTATGTACTAATATGTACATTTTTGGTACCAATATTTACCTTTGAGGGACTAATATGCACTCTTTAGGTACAAAGGTGTAACTTTTGAAAAGGTGTATTATCTCGTGCTACAGTAAAAACCTACACTTTTGATACAAAAAAAGTCATGAAATAGTATCCCTTATAGTTACTGAGATAAATAACCCTTGACGATGTCCCTGCTGTGTGACAAACATGTTCTTCACCAATCTGAAGTTCAACACTGTATTGCGTCCTGTAGAATAGAGGAAGTAAGTATCGTGTTGCATGTCTCGATCTGCAGCTGAGTGTGTTAAGAGCTCTGGATTAAGAGGAAGGATCACAGAGAGTGCTTTCTAAAGTGGCCCATATTGACACATTATTAACGTGCATCTCAACATTCACCTTTACACGAGTGTTGTTTACAACCCTGATGTTGCATTTGTTTGATTCCCGTCTATTTACTTCAAACCCAGAGCGAATGAGATTCATCCGTCATGTCGCTCGCGCTAAGCCTGGCATTAACAGAGAATGAATGGAGAGGGAAATAATCGCCTTACCTTCTCCTGCGCACCTTCTGCGCTGCTCTTACAATAGCATGGCCTTCTAGTGAATACTCGAACACTTATTCATACTACATAAAACACCGTGCACACACTACAGTAAGCAGAGCTGCTCGTTTCTTAAGAAGTTTGTGTAATCTTTGAGTGATTTGAGTTCATTCCCCGCATATCCAGACAGATCAGAGACTAGGCTCACGGATTTTAGCCAATAGGAGAGGCGCATTAGGTTCTGGGCACGCCCCCTTTCACCTCGTTGGCCAATCAGCGCCATGGAACGCGGTTGCTCTCCGCGGTGCTGAAGTTGTTGTTTTGTGAGCGTGTTAAAGAGAAACCTTCGACCTTCCGACTGACCTGATTATCATATGTGAGTTTTTTATAGTACACACACTCTTTAAAATAAAGCTTCTTTACTGGCATCGATCGTTCATTAACATAAATGGAATCTTTTCAATGCAAAAAAGGGTTATTTATAGTGGATAAGTTGATTAAAATGTTCTTTGCACTAAGAAACAAGTGTTCACTGAAGGGTTCTGCCATTGAAACCATTATAAAAAATAATGTAACCATTATTTTTAAGAGTGAAAACAAATGCATTCTCCAATAAGTAGCTACTTATGCTTCTGAAGCCAATCGCAAGAGATTCCAAAAAAAAAAACAGAAAATGGATGCATATCTTGTTGACAAAGCGGTGCCTTTTTTGAGCAATTAAAATAAATGTTGCATCAAATTATTCAATAAATAATGAAAACTCGGTCTTGAGAACCTCATGCACTTGCATTGTTTAACCACTAAGGGGCAGAGTTTCTTTAAATGATGCCATTGCTACTTCACAGCTTCATATCTTGCTGTCATTTATGCTCACACATGTTTAGACTGCCTTTATCCTTTCTTTCGATTTGTACACTCTTAAAACACTCACATACACTTCTAAAGGAATAACTGATACTAACTGATATATTCACCTTATATATTCTACATAGAAAAAAAGGCGTTTTTATCTTTCAATCTTTTTTTTGTTTATGTTATCAGATAAACTGCATGAAACGAGAGGAAGGATGAGGGTGGAGATTAAGTGTCAGTGGGACTGAGCGC